TGACCCACTTGACATGGTGAGCTTGATTCTCGTGGAAAGACATCCACCGATACAAAGTTCTCCAATCAAAAGATGTTGATCGAAGTTCAATCTCTAACATTTTCTTGTGTTTACCCCGCGAGATCCTTGAAAACATGCATCCACATAACATGCATCCACATCATGACAGGTTTTCCCTTTCAGGTTTCCTTATTCTCCAACTGTTTATTTCAGTAGAGATGGCTCTAGAGAGGACTATCGAAGATATCCAGGCTCAGAACGCTCAACTTCAAGAAATGTTCTTGAACCTGTCCCAGGGGTAAGAAGAAGTGAAAGCTCTCCTCACAAGGGGCATGGTCCTAGGAAATCCAAGCGGCGTCAGGAATGATTAGTTGGAAGAACTACAGATTGAGCTGGCAACAATGAAGATCCAGATGATGGGACAACTGGTGGGCCAGATGGCTCTCATTCAAGACCTGGCTCAAAGACAAGAGGAGCTCAGGGTCCTCGTCAACAAACTGCTTCAAGATAACCAAGTGGGGAAAACAATTAGGGTTTAAGATCAAGTCATCATTCAACCTCCTTTGAGACAAGAAGACAAGGGAAAAGCTCCCCAACTTGCTTCAGGGTCACAAGCCCAACAACAACCTCGCCAGTGTCAACGGGGTAATCGGCGTAAGCAAAATACATCTGGAAGACATTTCACTAAGACTGACATACCATCATCTCTAATACTGGAACGCTTGTTAGAGGTCAATCTGACTTCTTTAAAGGATCCTATTCGGAAGCCCAACACCTCTGCTCCTAGCTATCACCCTGACGCCTTTTGTGTGTACCACTCCTATAGTCCTGGACATGACACCGACGATTGTTGGGCTTTGAAAAACAAAATCCAAGACTTGATTGACAATGGAGTGCTGAAATTCATGCCGGATGGCGAGATGAAAATATTCCGCTGAGGGTTCTCCACCTGGAATGACAAGTTCAAACTAAGAGACTTTTGTTTCATTTGAATTTTCAAGTTGTAATTTCTTTTGTTATTCAAACAATTATCTGTTGATGTCAAACTCTGTTTCATTAATGCATTGCATATGTTTGTCTTGAATTCATCCATTCGTTTTCACCATTCTTGAATTATGCTTCCTACTTTATTTATGATATTTAACTCTTGATAAAGGTTACAAAGTCTTTATAAGGAGGATGACGAAACAATACCATAATCTCATATAGTATGCTTTTGAACAGACCTTGCTGACGATGTATAGGCGTTTCTTTCAAATCCTAAACACTGGAGTTATAAGGAAGATAATTCCTAGTCAACCCCTTCGGGCCAAAGAAGTAGAAGTTTTCTGTTTTAAACACAAGTTGAAACCTTTAATCAAACCTGGGGCAGGGTAGTCTCTCAGTTAATTCAAAAGATGCGCATTGAAGTCGCAAACTCTCAGTTCGTAATACAACGAATGACATCAAAAACATTCCTTCGGAACCAAAAGACTGTGATAGTTCTTTATCTCATAGGTAGTCATTATCTCTCAAAAAAAAAAGGAAAGCCCAATGAGACAAAACCTACAAGGGAGGCTTAAGAAAGCTGGGGCATCCCACAGACTGTAATCTCGAAAGCAGGAACAGTCAGGCAAAAGTTAGGGATAATGAATCAAAAGAAAGAGGTCGTTATAAATCTTCAACAACATGAAAAATGTTGCAAAAATGACTGCCTTCCAACAATTTCAGCTTGTGTGGACCATCACCAAAACGTCGTTCCAAATTCGAATAGAGTTCGATGCACAATAACTGAGTTTAGGATTGAAGAACATAACGAAGAGCGGGTGGGTACAAATATACTTTGGGCCTTTATCCTTTGTTTCTTAAACCGTGAACCAAGCCACGTTATAACCCTTCAAAAGTCCTAATTGAAGCATGGGTTAGTTCGAAAGCATACCGTCACAAAAGGTATCCTGACTCCTGTAAGGCTTTGCTCTAAATCTTGTGTTGAATTTGTCTTATAAAAAGTTTTTTGCTAAAAAACGCATTTTTCAAAACTTCAAGACAAGCATAAACTTTGCATTATTTGAATATCGTTTGACAGCGAAGAAATTCATACAGTGAATGTTCGGAGGAACGAAAGCTCTCTCAGTGAATAAAATCACTTCAAGTGGGATGACACTCCCGTTGCAAAAATCTCCCATCAACAAAAGGGGCCCTGATACGATCCAGTAGACATGGGGCAGTCCAGTCAAGATTCTAACAAATCACTCAAGTTCAGTAAACCTGGGGCAGTCCAGTCAAGATTTCAAGAAATCTCTCAATTGCAGGTTAACCTGGGGCAAGTCTCCCTCACCATCACTCGGGGCATTCAAAACGTCAATCTCATCAAAGGGTTACCAACAGTCCAAGTTTCCTGGCAGTTCCACAAGCATCTGATACTAGGGGCAGTATTGAACTTCTCCGAAATCTTTCTGAAAAGAAATTCAAGCGTCCTCGAGAAGTTCATCACCTCTCTAGCAGACCAGCAGTCATGGGTTTATTTCCCCAACATTTGTCAAGGAATTATTCTCCAAAACAAAATTACATTTCAACAACATTCATAACATACACAGATTGATCGGTCGTTAAAAATTCCTTCATCACCTGTTGGAAGTTACGATCGTCAGAGATTCCTCCATCATCCGGTTGAGTCAAAATTAATCCAAGACCCTCTCTGTTTTGGTCAGATAAACACTAAGATCTCCCTAATTCTTATGCCAATGGAAGATCTTCTAGGTTTTTGATATTTCAGATAAATCTCCCAGCGATTTATTCTGGTTTTCTTCAATACCAGAGATGAAAAATCCAACTCTTTTCTCGTTCATCAGCTCGGGATTTATTTTCCCCAGCGAAAGGTCATCTTAAAAAACATTACACCTCCGTGCATTAAGACATCATGCAACGCGATCTCATTTATTTTGAGAACATCATTGTTTGATATATTCCACTAACCTTTACCTTTCAGGAAAGGTACAATCAAATTCAAGCGACAAAGCTTTTCTTCAGTCGAATTACGGACAAGTTCCTAAATTTCGATAAAGCTTTTACTGCAGTTGAATTCCGGACAAGTTCCTAAATCTCAAACGGAAACAACCCACCAACAAAATAATGGACAAATGAAGCTCCTAAAATTTTGTTTCTCTCAAGATTGAAGATTCTCATCCTTGAAACCTCAGAAGATTGGTATACTCCCAAGCTCCTGATACCGTTAACAGAATGAAGATTCTCATCCTTGAAACCTCAAGAGATTGGTATACTCCCAAGCTCCTGATACCATTAACAGAATGAAGATTCTCATCCTTGAAACCTCAAGAGATTGGTATACTCCCAAGCTCCTGATACCGTTAACAGAATGAAGATTCTCATCCTTGAAACCTCAAGAGATTGGTACACTCCCAAGCTCCTGATACCATTAACAGAATGAAGATTCTCATCCTTGAAACCTCAAGAGATTGGTATACTCCCAAGCTCCTGATACCGTTAACAGAATGAAGATTCTCATCATTAAAACCCCAGTAGATTGGCATACACCCAACCTTCTGACCCAAGACCTGAATGAAGATTCTCATTTTGGCTTCCCCAGTAGATTGACATACACCCAACCTTCTGACCTAAGACCTGAATGAAGATTCTCATTTTGGCTTCTGTTGTACCCCAATTTTTGACCTAAGATCCCATTTTTATTTTTTTGCATTTTTTAAGATAAGTCAAGGTCACGAAATACGGTCGGTTTTTAACTCTCTCACCTTCGAGCATTTCCTATGCATAGATTATCAAGTATCGTGAACATTTTATCTTATGTGTCACTAACTTCTAATCACATACAAAGGTGTATGTTTGTGTTTCTTTTGTTTCGTGTGCAGAGATAGGTCTGAATCAAGAGCATCAGGCATTGCGCCTCAGTTAGGGTTTTTAGTCCCTCAAGTTTTCAAGAATGTTGAATCACCAATTTTCAAAGGCTACTTCATCAAAGCTTATCCTCTAATCTCAAGAGAACAGCCAAGGTTTCATTATCACTGGTTCACATATGCATCAATGCGTCCGGGAATGCAAGGAATGATCAAGCTTGCAAGTCGATTCAAAGCACTTAGACCAAAAAGCCAACTTTTTCAAGATCAAGTTCAAAGGATCATAATTTCCTCAATTTCCAATATTTTGAGACAGTTCTTTTTGCATGTTGTCATATTATGCTTTGAAGGCTATGGAATTTATTGAAACGTTATAGGTCATTATCATAACCTAGAATATTCTTAACCTCCAAGCCACAATTCATGCCATAATTGTTCTATAAAGATATTGAATTTTATGATGAGTTTGTTCATGACACATGATGATGAGTTTAAGGATTCTTTAAATTGTTTGGCGCTTGTTTCAAGTCACTTGCATTTGAGCATAAGTGATTGTCAAATTATGATGAATTTTTTTACCAAGGCTCTTAAGATACTATTTGTTCACTCAAGTACTAATGACAAGTTTGCAAATATTCTTCAAGAGAAATTCACAAAAGTTCATCAATTCTACAAGGACTATTTCTAAGGAAAAAGTTCTTATTCAATTCAAGAATTTGATACAAACTTTAAAGAAAATTTCAAGATCATTGATTCAAGGATATTTGTCATGTTTAGTTCAAAAGTGGAGAATGCATCATGTTAATTTTTAGGCATATTTCAAGTTTGCAATTTCAAAAAAGTTTCAAGACAAATCCATTCCAAACTCAAATGAAATATTTAAAGTTACATCCAAATTCAAGACTTGTTACAAATGTCATATCCCATTACAAATACTATAGCCACAAAATCACATGAAAAACATTGCAAATCCCGAAGCCTATTTTAAACTATCCTTCACCAATCTTCAAAATACCAAGTCTAAGCCTATGCTATTATTTTCAAGCCCGTTTTCCTTGCTTCATGATGCATCAAAATCGCTCCATAACTTGTACCAATGTTGTCCGTAAATCAGCTGCTACAAACACTTCAAAACAGTCCAAAAATCTGCTACAAAATCAGCCCCTGTTGCTGTCCACCCTGCTGCTGTCTTGCTGCCCAGACAAACTGCATAAGCATGCCAAAAACCCAGCATCATATCAGTCCAAAATACCCTGCAAAAACCTGCTATCTTGCTTCCTACGAAACCCTGCTACTACTGCCATGCTCAAGTCTGTCCAAGACCTACTGCTGCCTCTGCTACATTGTCCTTATACTTGCTATCCAAAACATGCCCAAAATGAAACCTCAAATACCTGCACCGAAAAACAATAAAATAGTTACACTAAAACCAACTTTTCCCCCAAAAATTTGATCATTTTTTCCTATAAAGATAAGATATTGTTCAATAGAAAAGAGAGACAAAAAAACCAGTAGGGAGAGTTACAAGGGATTCTTTTTTCATACAAAAAACCAAAAAAAAATCATCTAATTTGTAGCTTCATATATACCCTGTAATTATACCAGGGAACAAGATATATACCTTCAGCAATAGCAGTAGTTACAAAAAATCTGCACAAACATCAATCTTCCACCACTGTTAAACTGTAAACCACCGCACCAGCTTTTCGCCCACCATCCCATCTTTTCTCCAACCTCTGAGTCATTCAAGTAAACTAAACAATGGTGAAACAGAGAGGAAGAACAAATCACCAAATTCAATTCAGAAATCTCTCAAGCCGGATCTCTGTCGTAGAATTTCTTCAATGGAAACAAAGAAAACTCATAAACAATCATGATTCAAACAACATATAGCTTACCAGCGTTGTTGCGATTTTCTATTTGACCGCAGTTCTGCCCAAAAGTTCGCAGATACGTTCAACTCCGAATGAAACCCCATGAATAATGGGCACCACCACCTCGTTCGAGCCACCACCGGCACCTCAGCGCAACCGCCACCCCCAAGACCACAACGGAACTGCAGCGATCTCGCAAGCCCTTCCGCTGTGCCGCCATCGTCTCCTTCCAATCCGGTAACGTCTTTCCTTGTTTTTTTTCACAGCTTGTTGGTTTGTAAGTGACATTCATGATTGTGAAATTGCAAGAGATTTGGTGTATTGTTTCTTGAAAGTAAGAGATTTTTAGAGAAAGGTAAAAGAGAATCTGTGAGATTTTTGTTCTTTCTACTGATACAAATGAACATATGTCGTTTTGTTTACTTTTATTTTATTTTTATTAAAGAGGAGTGATATGTGTCAGCTCCTCATTGGACCTATTTTTTTCAAAGCAATTTTTGAGGGATGGGGGGTGTTGAAATATTGACCGAGTATTGATGATAGGCATGCTCACATTTTTTTTATTAACATTATTACAATAGCTTTGGATTAATTTTAGTTAGTTTTGAAATAGGTACACTATATTTTAACCTAATAGTAAACCTCATTATATACAACTAATTTTTATTTTTCATTTTTTCAATTTTAGTTTTGATTTAAGTTAGTAATTTTATTATTAATATAGTTTAGATTAACTTAGTAATTTTATAATGAATTTAGTTTATACTTAAACTAGTTTAGATTTAATTTAGTAACTTTAAAATTTTCATTTTGGTTTAGATTAAATTTAATAACTCTAGAATTTTTATTCGATTTAGATATAATTTAGTAACTTTAGAATTTTTTGTTTAGTTTTATTTTAGTAACTTTAGGATTTTATTTCATTTAGATTTGATTTAGTAAACTTTAGAATTAGATCTTATTTCATTTAGATTTGACTTAGTAAACTTTAGAATTAGATTTTATTTCATTTAGATTTGACTTAGTAAACTTTAGAATTAGATTTTATTTCATTTAGATTTGACTTAGTAAACTTTTAGAATTTTATTCGATTTAGATTTAGTTTAGTAACTTTGGAACTTTCTTTGTTTTAGGTTAGCAACCTTGGAATTTTTATTTAGTTTAGATTTAATTTACTAATTTTAAAATTTTTAATCTAGTTTAGATCTAACTTAGTAATTTTAGAATTCTAATTTATTTTAGATTTAATTTATTAACTTTAGAATTTTAAGTTAGTAATTTTATAATTTTAATTTAGTTTTAGTTATTAACTTTAAAATCTTGTTTAGTTTAGTTAGAAACTTTAGAATTTAAGTTTAGTTTACTTAGTAACCTTAGAATTTCAAAATTAGTTTAGATAACCCTCTAATTATCTTTTCCTTTTATTCATGATTCTTCTTTGTGCGTTTAGTTAGTTTCTTATAGTTTATCTTGTCACTATTCTCCTTGTTTGTTTCTTTTGGATTTTTTTTACTTATATGATTCTTGCTCGATTACTAGACCTACCCACTTATGATTAACTCCAAGGGAAAGAATTAAATTTGTTGACTTCATGTCATCAAATATATCTTACACGATCGAGCGAATACCCCCATTCATTAAAAACATAGGATAATTTTCCCAAATATCCGATTTCTTCAAAAAAAACTCACACCTTTTAAGTCAAAACTTCGACACTAGGTCGTCGCATCTTCAAAATCTCGTCCATACCCATCTTTTAGCCAAACGAATAATTTTAATCAAACAAATAATTTTAAACCAAAAAACAGATATTTCAAAAGGTTCCTGCGGAGTACCGCAGATGCATTGGGTGCTAATACCTTCCCATTGTATATCCAACCCCCGAACTCTCGATCTCTTTCAAAAAATGCATTGTATTTTTATTACTTTTAAGTATTATTTTACATTGCATATTTTAGGGTTTTATTTCGCTCTTTTCCCTTTTCCCTTGGAAATAATAAAGCGCGGTGGCGACTCTTGCTTTTTGTGAGTCAAGTTAATTAATAGCTTGATCTCCGATTTTCACCGCTACAGTTTCCCCAGTAGATTGGCTTACACCCAACCTTCTGACCCAAGACCTAAATGAAGATTCTCATTCTCAAAGTGGTAATTCAACTTCTTGATATTCCCGACAGAATGAAGATTCTCATTCTCAAAGTGGCATACGACTTGACTTCTGAACTTCCTCCAAACAGGAATAAGCCCCTCCAACAGGATAGCTACTTTTCAATAGTATGGCTATTCCGCACAGAGTTCTTACTCCTCAACAAAATCAAGATTCTTGTTCTTGATTCTCCGGAGTTTTCTTTACTCTAAGCATGAATTTGTCAGAATTTCAAATCCCCTGCAGATAGAAAATTCTCGTTCTTGGCTCCTCAACACTAAATCCCCAAGCAAAATGAAGACTCTCATTCTCAATTCCTCACAAATTTTTTCAAATATTCCCCGGCGGAGATCTCCTCAAAACAGGAATCCCCGGTAGATTGGCATACAACCCAAGATCTTGATTTCCCCAACAGTGGTCCCAGGACTTCTCATTTTCAATGATCAAAGGATTTTCAATCCCCGGCAGCAGTCAAGGATTTACTTTCCCCGACGGCGGTCAAAGATTTTATTATCTCCAGCTATCCAGGATTTATCTTCCTCATCAAGACGCCTAATCAGCTTACATGCGCATTCATTACATTCACATATCATAAACATTGATATAACACATACATTTCATCATACAACATAACTTTGTGTTTCAGCTAATATTTTACCCGTCGTAGGATAAGTTTAGCAAGTTTCAAGCTTCAAGGATTTATGAAAACAGTTCACGGATGCCTCCCGACACGGATGCTAATCTATTGCTTACTCAGACCCCCAGCTCAGAGATGTTCCAAACATGGATACCTTTCTGATACTCACCCACTCACCTACAACATACAAATTCAATAAACATTCTTGGATGGCATCTTTAAGCCCATCTCCGACAAGATTTTGTCACATCTCCAAATGGCATCTTTAAGCCCATTCCATTAACTATGCTTTGACGAGTGAAAATTTATGGGCACTCTAGTGTCCAATCTTCTTTTACCTTCGAGTCGCGAACGGAAAAATTTCCAATCTAACTCTTCAGGTTCAAGAAGATTGAACAGGGGCAACTGTTGTACCCCAAAATTTGCCCTCCTGTTTTCATAAGAAATCACAACCCCAGGGTTTTCTCTGATTTTTCAGATCAGCTCAAGAATCGGTCAAACAGACTTTTCTTTATCAGTTAATCCAGAATTAGGGTTTCCACTGATTTTGTTGAGATTGGCCCAAGAATCGGTCAAACAGACTTTTCTTTATCAGTCAATCCAGAATTAGGGTTTTCTCTGGTTTGTTAAGATTGACTCAGGAATCGATCAGACAGATCTTTCTTTGGTAGTAATCCAGGATTAGGGTTTGCGCTCCCATTTCTCAGAAGAAACTGAATCCTTAGAAATTCAGTTGACTGTTACATTATTTTTACGCTTGTTCAAGATTACTGGTTATTTCTCGAAACCTAATTATCTGGGATAAGAGCTGAGACTTTTGTTTGGAACTTTAAGGCATTTGTTTGATCAGTGGAGTGAAAGGTTTATGGAATGCTTACTTGTTTAACTGTACAACGCATATGTTAATTAGAATACCAGGCGTATTGTGATTAATGCAAGGTTGCGAGACGGCAAAGTTTGTTGATTATTTATTTCATCTGGATTAAAGTTATTTGGATTCATTTCCAGTTATTTTAATTTAAGAGTCTTAAATAATTAAATAGATAATACAAGAAAAGATTGGAATATTTGACAGTAGAAAATTCTTTTTTGACAAAGACTTTTTATTTATTTCAAATGTTGTTACAAATTTTATTCGAATATTGTAAGATTACAACTTATAGTATTTACAATAACATTTGTTTACAATAAATGGAAAAAGTAAATCTAAGCCTAATCTCCTAAGGTCTTTGACTTCTACTGCTTCCTCTATCATCCAATTGGTACTTACCTGCAAAAGAAAAGAAATTAGTATAAGAATTTTCAAGCAGAAGCAGATAAAAAGAAAAATCATCATTAAAGTCTGCCGGCCGGAATCAGAAATGCTATGTTCATCATGTCTCATTTTCCTCTCTGCAAATCACAAGAAGATTTCTCTTCTCGGTTCACAGAGAGAAAAATAAAATATATAAAATGCAAGCATGTCAAACTAGATACAAAAAACATGGTTCAAATACAAAGGTACAAAGCTGCATTAACCAAGTAAACTGAACTGCAAACTGAGTTTCAAAATGCATTAACCAAATGTCAAACTGAGTTGCCAAACTGTCACAGCAAGTACAATGCAGAAGTATACAAAGCAGAAAGTTGCAAAGCTGTCAAAGAAAGTACACAATGCAGATAATATGGAAAGAAAGTACAACAATGCAGCAAGATAAACCAAGTTACAAGCAAGAAGGCTTGTCCAAGCCATCATCATTTTCTGGCCAGCAAACTTTTCAGAATTCCAATATAATAAGCAATTAAAAATGCTTATGAAGAGAGAGAAAGAGAGAACCTTAGAAAAAGTTTTGCAGTTTTGGCAAAAGGCAGGTTTTTTTTCAAGTGATAAAAGAAACAAAAAAGATATAAAAGGGAAAGCCTGCATAACAGTCCAGGATGAGGGAGAAAACATTGAAAAAAAACCATAACCTGCAAGTCAAAAACTTGCAAGCCCAAAGCAAACCTGCCTAAACTGCTAAACCTGCCAAAACACAACAGACCAGCATGCCTGCATACAAAAATCCCAAACCTGCCTAAACTGCAAGCCAAAATCACAAAACCTGCATCATAAACTGTAACTTACCAGAACTGCAAGCTACAAACAGCACAAAACCTGTAAAACTGCAAATCACAGTTCCAGATGCCAAGCTTACTCAAGCTCAACAAACACCCAGGCCAAGCCCAAGACAAATGGCAGTAAACACAGCATAACCTGCTTGCAAACTTGCCTGCTTGTAAACTCAAGCAAACTTGCATAACCTTCAAACCTACCTGTCTAAAAACAACAACAAACCTTCCTACACAAATACTCAGGCCAAACCCAAGTCTGCATTTCATAACAGCATAACCTGCTTGCAAACTTACCAAAAACTACATAAACTGCAAACACAGTCTAGCTTCATCAACCACAAAAAAAAACAGTTCAAACAATAGTTTCAGAGGTCTCTCATCATTAACATACAAATAAAGGAGGAAGAGGAAATCAGAAGCA